CCCCCCCTCCTCCTGTCCCGTCCTGGTCCTGTGACTCGGGCACTTTCCTCAGGAGTGAATTCAGAGCAGGGGACACTGCCACGGTCTCGTGGCGTGTAAGTGGCTCCCCGCGCCTGGCCCGGGCCCCTTGCCACACTGGCGCCCTGCCGCCTGGTGTCCAGCACAGAGTTTGGTCCAAGAGGCTCGTGTGGCCGAAGCCGGGGGGCCGAGTTGCAGGTGGTGGACTCTCCCGCAGGGATGCAGCCCGGCCTCTCTCCACCAGGAACAGGCCGAGCTCAAGGTCCGGGCCGGCGAGCTCAGGGCCAAGGAGGAACAGCTGGCGGCTGAGCGCGAGGCGCTGGAGCGGGAGCGGCAGGAGCTGCGGCTGGAGAAGGAGCGGGTCAATGCGGCCGCACTGCGGGTCCGGCTCCGCGCCGAGGAGGTGGAGCGCATGAGCCAGGTGCGCGTGCACGGGCGGCCCGGGGGCGAGCCCCGAGCCGGGCTTTCCGCCTGAGCCTGAGCCCGCTGCCACCACCGTCTCCTGGCAGGTGGCCTCGGAGAAGTTCGAGGCCGGGGAGCGGGCACTGTGCGAGGCCCGGCAGGTGCAGTCGGAGCAGCAGGCGCGCCTCCAGCGGGTGCAGCAGCAGCAGGAGCGGCTGCGGCAGCAGGAACAGCACATGCACCAGGCAAGGCGCGCCCCACCCTCGAGCACCCGCTCCTTCCCTGTGCGGCTCCCGCCCTCACAGCGCCCCCCTCGCCCGCGCTCTGGACAGGAACAGCTGAGCCTGGCCCAGCAGAGGTTGCAGCTGGACCGTGTTCGGCAGGACCTGCCCTCTGGCCTCGCGGGGATATTCCCCCGGCTGCAGGCTCCAGCGGCCCCCAGCCTGAGCGGTGAGTGGATAGAAGCAGATGGGCCCAATTCCATGGCCTTTATAGCTGGCCAGCCCCGAACCAAGCTGCCCCTCGCCTTCCGCAAAAGAATGCAGGTCCCGGAGGGAACTGTGTGTCACAATCACCTGGACACACCTGATAGGAACATACACATGGGGCCCCACTGCTTCAGAAATGTCCGTTGGTTGATGGCCCATTGTCTCCTTGCTGGGTTTTCCATGTGGGAAGGGGCACTTCTAAAGGCCTCAGGGATTCGGACCTGTGGAATGTGAGTCCAGGTGACACCCCCAGTGTGGGGGAAGCCGGGGCTTAAGCCTGACCGTCCCGGGTCCCCACTCTTGTCTTGTTTTCTCCAGCTGCCGGCCCTGCTGCTACCGCCAGCCCTTGGTGCAGCCAGCTGCCACCGGCGACTGGCCTGGTCCCCTCACACTTCCACGCCAAGCTGGTGCTGCTGAAACACACGGCCGAGCAGGTGAGTGTCTGGGGCCACCTCCCGGCAATGCGTCGAGATGGAGGTGCAGATTACTTAGGGAATGTTGGCTAGGCGCTGCAGGCCACAGTCACCCCAGGCCATAGTCACCCCACATGGACCTATGGGGATGGTAGTCACCTCTTCCTGGCAGTCCCGCCGTGTCAGGTTGCCAACTGGCTCTACAGATGAGGTTCAGAGAGGCGACGCCATGTGCTGATAAGAACATAGCTCCTAAGTGGCCCTTTCGGAACCGAGGGCTCCTCTTCCCAGGAGGGGATGGGGACTCCCAAGAAGCTAGCATCCCAAAGCCCCCACTCCGCCCACAGCTGCTCACCAAGGGGATCTGGAAGGTGACCCCTCACCCAACTGCCTTTCAGGACCGAGACTTCTTGGAGAATGAACAGTTCTTCCTAGAAACGCTGAAAAGAGCGCCCTATAATATGACGTCACACTCGGCCTGAGAGGCGGGTGCCCTGGCCGCCCCCAACCTAGGGTGTAGGCCTTGGCCTCTCACCCACTGCCACTGGCAGCCAGCTGGACAGGAATGGTGCTGCCTCCCCCGGAGCCCAGGGAAAGTTCCAGATGCATGCCCAGGCCCGATTACAGCTCTTCCTCTGACAGGTGCTAGCCCTTTCTTTCTGAGCGTCTCAGCCACTGTGGCCAAGAACAGGCGGCCCCTGGGCCTCCGGGACCTGAGGGTGCAGGGGCCTCGGGGACAGCATGGGACCATGGTTCCTCAGCCAAATGCCCCTTGGGCTTTCATGCCCCACAGCTGTCCAGTGCTGTGGGGCCATCCTGGATCTTAGGAGAAGGGGCTGCTCTCCAGGGCTCCCTGAAGACCCTACAACCTGCACTCCTGATGGGGCAGCCTCTCCATCCCCAGCCAGCCAGAGGGCTCGGCTAGCCCAGCACAGGCACAAGAGACTAGGTAGGGGCTGGGGACAGCAGGAGCTTTGGGGTCACAAGGAAGGGGAGGCCTCTCCAGACTCCTCCCTTGGTTGAAGCCGCAGCCTGCTGGCAATGTGGGTGGGACCCCCAAGGAGCCTCCTGGTACCCTGGCTGCCGTCACCTCAATTCTCCACGTGTGGGCCCGGTGCCCAGGCAGGGGCCAGAGGGGCAGGGGCCAGAAGGACTGGCAACGGCCCCAGTGGACCCATGGACAGACCAAACCAACTTCCAAAGCCCACTTCTACCCGGGACCAATTTGCCACCTTCCACAGAAAGGAAAACAACTGAAGCAGCCAGTGGGTGGGGCAGCACTGGGGGCGGGGGTGGGGGTGGGGCAGCGTTGGCAGTCAGTTCTCATTTACGGACACTCAGCTGTGTTCAGGATGCCTGTTTTTGAACAGCCCAGAACAATGCCCCTGAGATTGAACAAAGCGTCACACTTTGAAACCACCTTTCAGTGCATTAGCCTCAGGGAAAGCCATTAAAAGTCACACACTTGTTGCTGTATCTATGTTTTACCTCACTTATGATTGATCGTTTTCATACAGATTAAAGGCTTGGCAATAATAGGCTAGCGTTTGCTTTAAAAGCCCATCTACAGAGTGTGCCCCATTGCCACGGGTGTTCCAACAAAGGAGTCCCTTTTGAACATGAAGCAATTGCTAGGAAGGGTTTGTATAGTAGGTGCCTTTTTAAATTATTACTAGAGGATCTTTTTATTGGGGGGCTCTTCCAACTCTTAGTGATCCATACATCAATTGTATCAAGAAACAGATGTGTACATATGTTGCTATCATAGTTTTCTAGACACGTACTTCCTTTTGAGCCCTTAGGGTCAGCTCTTCTTCCCTCCACACCTTGATAAGCTACAAATTATTATTATTTTCATATCTCACACTGACCGCTGTCTCCCTTCCCCCGTGGTTTCTGTTGTTTTTCCCCCTGGAGGGGGGTGTGGTTATATGTCAGTCATTGCGTTTGGTTGCCCCTTCCTCCCCTCCTCTCCTCACTTTTCCCCTATCCTTCTGGTATTGCTATTTTTTTTT